GTAATCTATCATATCAACAATGATTCTATATACATGTACTAGAATATATGAGCCTCCTTTTAATTGTGAAATAATCAATCATATCTATGTAAGACTCCATGTGCGAGAGTATAATATTTCTTTTGTGTTTTTAAATCATCAATGGAAGATTCCATACTCTATAGTGTATAAACTTCCTTTTAATTGTTGATGGATAACTCTATATGCTAGAATGTATAAACACCCGTTTAATTATGAAATAATTAACCATATCAATTAGATAATCAATCATTACTAGAATATATAAAATTTCGGTCAATATTGAAATAATCAGTGATATCAATGAATGACTGCTTATCCTAGAATATCAATGAATGACTGTATATCCTAGAATGTTTCAACTTTCTTGTAACTTGAAATAATTATATCTCTAAATGACTCAATAGACTAGAATATATAAACTTTTCTTTAATTTTGTAACATTCCACTATATCAATGAATAATTTCATATATACTAAAATGTAAGAAGACTCTTTTAATTATGAAATAATCAATCATATCACTTTTACAATCATATTAATAGCTGACTCCATGTTTTAATTTAACAGAAAAGTGCATATACAGCTTTTAGAAGTAGAAAAGATAAGCTTCTTGATTTTTATGGATTGGCTTAATTTTATGAGAGCTCAAATGCTACTACCTCAGAATAAAGCTGTCAATTATTACTTACGGGTTTATATTATTAGATGAATATGATACAACCAAATATGGTTTTAATAAAATGTTTGTAAACGTCAACAATTATTATAATATTTCACGTTATATTTATTCAAATACTTTATAAGTTTAATTTTGTAAGACTGTAATCGGCCAGACGTATTTGTTAGTATAAGTGGGTCACGAACCGTTAAATATATATGCGTTTGCGTGATGAGTCTGTAGCTGTACTATGTAAACAACATACTTGCTGCTCTATTTAATCTTAGTAGAATAGAGAGGATGTGTGGCTTTGTCATTTTTAAATAATTTTAAATAATTTTATGATTGACACACCTGCCTTTTTAAAGGTTATCCAATTTAAGCTAATAATAATAATAATAATAATATGCATTAATTTACATTTTGGTAAGTAAGATTTAAAGTTCCATTGTCGAGATATTTAAGTAAGAATCTTCACCTGTCGGTGGATCTGTAGTAGCATCGCCTACTTTGGTAATTCTCATTCTGATCTTTGTTGCCTCACAGACTGCCTCAAACTCGTTTATATTTCTCACTAATTTTGTTGATCCATCTCGGGTTTTTATATAGATGATCCCATCCCTACACCATGTTTGGGAGATTTTCTTTTCCTTCAATAATTGGCGGGCTTTAAAAGCAAGGGTAGATCTTAGTTTTGTTAGATCATGATTAATAGAAATCTTATTCCTTTTCATCACAACAGGTACGAGAGACAAATCGTGTGCAACAGCACCGCTTGTTTCCTGGGTCTTCAACGATGTTTTTTTACTTGGGTCATTATTAACATTATTGACACCTGTATTTGTTTTGCGGGGTCGTATATTTTTTAGCCTTTTGGCGTTTTTCATGAAAGCTTGTTTGGTATAGTAGACCTTGAACCTCACTATGATGGATCTAGGTTTGGAAACAGAATCATATGCGCCAGGGGGGCCTACCCTATGACTTCTATTTATGTCATTTCTGGTTATTGGTACATTAATGATTTTACCTACTTCGATCACTAGCTGGTCTGTGTCTTCTTCTTGTGTTTCTACAATTCCTGAGATACGCACCCCTTCTCTCCTACCATACTGTTCCAGTTCGACACACTTATTGTAGATCTCACTAATTTGTGCGTTCTTCTCTTGAAGTTCTTTCTCTAATCGATCTACCTTGTTCTGTAATTTTACCACAGCATCAGCAACCTGAGGGCTTATGATCTTGGCTAGTGTATTGGCGATTTTAAATACAGCTCTTTCATCTTGGAGCACAACGAGAAATCGGTCGATTAATTTGTCCTCCATCTCAAAATCTAGTTCGTCGCCCGAATCAAGCTCAAAATCAAGCGTTTTTGACTTTTTGGGGTTTGTAATACTCGAGGCTGATGTAAGTCTCTTCCTCAGTTTTTCAAATGACATAATAACACTTATACATAGATGTCTTACAATTGTTATATCACTGAGCAGTCCTGTTTATAATCACAAACAAAAGATGAGACCCCGCACGTGAGAGATAGTTATGATGGTAGCGTCCCTAGTTACAGAGTTCAATCTACTGGAGATCAACAAAACATTTTACACATCAATCAGCAATAAGCTGATCAACTTCATATCTCCAACAATAAAATATATTCTTATAATATATACTTAATTCATAAATATAGCACTTATATACTAAATCCCATTCTTGAAATGATTGAAGGTTGGTCAGAGAGACTCACACGCACAACCTTCCACTTGCCGGCATTTGATATCATCCTTTGATATTGGCGTAACATTATTTCAATGTGCCAAGCGTACATTATTTATACTAGTTGAAATATTAGACCAGCGTGGCGTATTTTATTGCAATGCACGTGCTCGATAGTGTCTGTATTTTAAGTTGTTTAATGGTCTGGTGCAAGACATTGCGTAATACATAGAATAGCCCTCGTGCTACACGCACTCGTTCAATATCAATATATTACTTAATGTCTCGCACTCGACCATTAAACTACACATGAAATCCCCGCTATGTTAGTAACTACAACAAATAATTGTACGTTACGGAGACATTATTCAAGAGCTAAATATGCTTATTAAAGGCCTTTCTTTACGCCTTAAATGTCATATAAATTATTAAACATACATTATGCAAGAGCTAAATCTGCCTATTGCCGGTCTTACTTTAGGCCTGAAATGTTTTCTAAATTATTAATTAGACACTTATTAACTTATCCAGACCATAATCAACTTTCGATGGCATCGGATTTCTCCGATATTAAATATATTATAAGAGTTGAGCCATTTTTTTGATTTAAGCTAAAATGGAGGAGCGAGACTTAGCTTCGAACAACCAGTACGGTGGTTAAAATTATTGCACACATCTTGTCAAATCTTCAAAGGCTAATATCGTAGCTCGCAATAGAGTAATTTGAATGAAATTTTCAAATTATTCATTTTACATTATCTATTTTCGAACTATTATAGCAAGAATGGCTAGTTCTTTATCTAAATCTTACATAATGTATCTTTAAGTAGTCATTGTTATTAACATGAGAAGACGATAATCAACCCCCGATGGCATGGGATGCTCGCGAATTTAACTAGATTAGAACAGTTCGAATATGCTAGTATCGTGGTTACGATGATATACAATCAATGCACACATCTTATCAAAACTACAAACAGTGATAACTTGCAAAAAAGAAATAATAACGTAATTTGAATGACATTTTCAAAATTATGTATTTTCGAAATATAGCAAGAACGACCAGCTCTTTATCTAAAGCTGACATCATATATCTTTAAGTTAAGTTAGGAGAGAGAGAATGACAAAGGGCGAGTTATTGGGCTTGATATGCCCCCAAATTGAAAAATGTAGACACATTCTATGCAAAAAACCGGGTTTATATCTTCACAATTATTTGGAGCAACAAGGAAAAGAAGATGTTTCACATAAAGACCACCGCCACTTTTCTATTAAAAAAATAATAAATACTATCAGTGGTTGTCGCGCAGAGGGCTTTGTGGTTAAAAATAAGTTAAATACAATTAATTGTAAACACACTCTTCTACATCAATGACAACAAATAATTGTAATTACACCCTTTGTTAATCAATTACAACAAATAATTGTAAATACACCCTTTCTAAGTTAGATACAACAAATAATTGTAAATACACCTCTTCTACATCAATTACAACAAATACTTGTATATACACCGGTTCTAGGTTAAATACAAATAGTTGTATATACACCTCTTCTACATCAATTACAATAATTGTATATACACCTCTTCTAAGTCAATTAAAATACATAATTGTATATACACTTCCTCTACATCAATTACAACAAATAATTGTATAAACACCCATTTTAAGTTAAACACAACAAATTATTTCCTGTATATGCAAGTCAATTACAATTGTATTAATTGTATTTACACCCCTTCTATGTCAATTACACCAAGTTGAATAATAAATAGCGGTAAGATGAATAGATTTTAAGGTCTATTAAGTGGTGTGGTTTCGATTCCCCGATTGTACCTGAAGAGTCACCTGTCCAACTTCGTAGATGTTCTCTGGGTCCCCTGCTTTTGTTCCACAGATAAAGGCCCCAACGCGCAGGCGAATTATTGAAATAATGTTGAAGCAAGTGCTAGTCCGGACATGACCTAGTTTATGTCGAGTGGACGTTAAACTAAAGATATGTAACACAAACTGACTAAAATTAGCATTAATGATTTTACACAATAGTTTGATTTCCCCGTTACTTCAAGAGGGACCATAGAGGATCAGTAAATAAGCACTAACTCACGAAAAATGATGTTGCGACGAGGTGAGAGAGAGAGAGAGAGAGAGAGAGAGAGAGAGAGAGAGAGAGATGGGGTTTAACGTCCACTTGACACAAACTAGGTCATTTCGGGACTAACATATGGTTCAATTTTATTTCCATAATTCGCTTGCGCGTAGGGACCCGGAGAAAACCCACGAAGTTGGACAGGCGACCCTACTCCTTGTCACGTACAACCGGGGAATCGAAACCACGCTAGTTGACTCAATGACAGACTTTATGATACAGCACACATGTGCTAACCATTCAGCCATCCAACCCCCCTTGGGACGAGGTACAACATCAAAATGGTACAACCTCAATTGTTGTTTGGAAATAGAAGCGGGGCCACAGCGGATTCAGTTCATAAGGCCCTGGCGCACTAACCCTGAGATTCCGTGTTTGATCCCAAACATATTGGGCCAGACTAGGGTTATTATAGAAATGATACTAAGTTATTTATTTGACCAGAGAATTTTTTTTGGTTTCAGGTAACACAGCCACAGCCGTCAACACTCTACGTGACAAAACCCCAGGATTATCTGGGATTCTCCATCTTTGTTTGTCTGTGCTGTTGCTGTCCAATTGGAATCGCATCAATAATTTTTTCATGCGGGGTAAGTATTTGAAACTGAATGAAATATTTGAGAGAGAGAGAGAGAGAGAGAGAGAGAGAGCAACAAAAACTAAATCATTTTTTCGACAAGAGACCCTACTCCTTCCTTGTCACATATGAGTAGTCATAATCCTGTAAGTAATTCAAAATTTTAAAATCCACCTAGCGGCGTTTTATTGTATGCTTACCATAACTCTATTTCAGTCAGGAGCCACGGTGGCTAGGTGGGTAAGGCGCTGGCTCGCTAGCCTGGAGGTCGGGTGTTCGATCCCTGCATTGGCCGAGAAAGTTCATCCTGATTTTCCGACGTGGTTTCCCCTTGTCAGTGATGCAGGACGGAGGGCCTGGCAAGGACAGCTGCCTAGTCCTTCGGATGAGACGAAAAACCGAGGTGCCGTGTAAACATTGGAATGCACGTAAAGATCCCTTGGCAGTTGGAATTCGATATAAGAGTAGGCGATAGTGCCGCTGCCCGGGCAAAATTTCTCTCATAGCAAACTGTATGGCGTATGCCCGTCTTCATTAGCCCAGTATAGGAGCAGAACATTTCATTTCATTTCTATTTCAGTCACGTGATGCCTTTACTGCTGGAGATGTGAACACTGCTCAAGCCAAGGGATCAACAGCTCGTACTTTAAACATTATTGGCCTGGTGATAGGTATTATTTGGATCATAGTAGCCATAGTTCTCAGGGTGGTCGTTTATTCAACGGCAGTAGTAACCACCAGTTCTACTACTTATGGATAATCGAGTACAATATATTATGCACTGGACACTCTGGATTCAACGGCAGTAGTAAACACCAGTTCTACTACTTATGGATAATCGAGTACAATATATTATGCACTGGACACTCGTGGTTACTTGTAAATATTGACTAATAATGATAAAGACAAAAAATAGGGTTTACCTTTCTACTGTTCTACTCTTGACTGGGCTATTTAAGACGCCATACCACAGTCTGCTGTGAGGGAAATTTTGCCAAGGTTGGGGCACTATGGCCTACTCTTATATCCCTACTCTTATTCCCAATTCCAACTGCCATGGGTTCTTTTATGCGCACGCCAATGTTTACCCTTTATCCATATTTCGTCCCATCCTAAAGACTAGACACTGTTCCTTGTCGGGCCATCCTTCCTACACTACTGACAAGGTAAAACCGCGCCGGAAATTCCCGAGGAACTTTGTCGGCCAACACTGGAAGCGAACCCGAGATCTCATGGCTAGCGCTAGCGGCTCCCTAATGCACGAACTTAATTAAATTATCTATGCATTAAAATAAAATCTACTTTACGGAATGTCTTTTATATAACTTACGATTTTATCATTAAATATAATATTGTTGTTAGATTATCTCTTTTCTTTATTGTATCCCATTTTATCATTAAACAATCTCCTTTCTTTGCCATAATATCACATTTTATGTAACCGAAAATATCCATGGCTATTTTTGTTAGTATTTTTGTGGGTGTGGTGTAGGATGGGGTGGTTTTTATGTATTTGTTTTTGTTTGTTTGTTTTATCTTTGTTTAAAAACAGCGATGAATAATATTTATCTTTAATTGTTGATATAAATATTATCTGTGACTAATAAGTATAATTTTTCTTTCCTATTTTTAATTGCTTGTTAAGCTTATTCATAGTTTATACACATGTGCAGCAAGTGGCTTTCCTTTTATGAATGTAGTTTTTATTATTATTATTATTATTGCAGTGTATATTCAATGGATGTCGGAAAAAAACTTTCTTGTTCTTTTCTATTTTTTTACTAAATTAAAACTGCAATGTTTTAAAATTGTGCAAGTAATTGTACTTGTTAATAAATAAGTTTTTTTTTTATAATTATTGTTTTTATTATTATTATTGCAGTGTATACTCAATGGATATTGGAAAATAATCTTCGTGTTCGTTTCTATTTTCTTTACTAAATTACCACTGATATCTTTAAAATTATTTGTATTTTTATGAGGGGTTGGGTGACCGAATGGTTTAATGCGTTTGCGTTAGATCGTAAGTTCTGTCATTGTGTCAACCCGCGTGTACGTGACAAGGAGTGGGGCTGCCTGTCCAACCTCGTGGTCCTCCGGTTATTGAAATACAATTGATTCATATGTTGGTCTCAAAATCACCTAGTATGTGTCGACTGGACGTTAAACCCCACTCTCCGTCTCCAATAACAAGGTTGGCGCAGAACAGTTAGACGTTAAACTCTACCGCATTTATTTATATTATTAAAATGAAATGAAATGGGGTTTAACGTCCAACTGTTCTGCTGTTCTTTTCCAATGGGCTAATGAAGACAGAACAGTTGGACGTTAAACCCTCTCTCATTTATTTATATTTTTAAAATGAAATGAAATGGGGTTTAACGTCCAACTGTTCTGCTGTTCTTTTCCAATGGGCTAATGAAGACAGAACAGTTGGACGTTAAACCCTACCTCATTTATTTATATTTTTAAAATGAAATGAAATGGGGTTTAACGTCCAACTGTTCTGCTGTTCTTTTCCAATTGGGCTAATGAAGACAGAACAGTTGGACGTTAAACCCTACCTCATTTATTTATATTTTTAAAATGAAATGAAATGGGGTTTAACGTCCAACTGTTCTGCTGTTCTTTTCCAATTGGGCTAATGAAGACGGACATACGCCATACAGTGTGCAATGAGGACAAGTTTGCCCGGCCTACTCTTATATCGAATTCTTTTACGTGCACGCCAATGTGTACACGGGACCTCGGTTGTTCGTCCCATCCGAAAGACTAGACAGTTATCCTTGTCAGTCCCTCCGTCATGCACCATTGCCAAGCGGAAACCACGCCAGAAAATCCTGATGAACTTTATCGGTCAACACCGGGATCGAACCAGCGACCTTCAGGATAGCGAGCCAGCGTTTAAATCACGGAGCCATAGTGGCACCTTATATTATTGAATGAACTCAACCTATAAAATTCTGGAAACTATGGCGACTCAGTAGTTAAACATACATTATGCAAGAGCTAAATCTGCCTATTGCAAGTCTTTATGTAGGCTTCAGATGTTATAGAAATTATTAATTAGACCTTCATTTACACGCCGTAGACCCACTGATGGCTTGGATACAGTTTGGATTTAAACAGTCGTCTATTTAAAATTAAATCAATAAATGGCGGACCAAGCTAACGTTTACCGTTAGTCACTGATGTCACTACCGGAAACTGGTGATGAAAGGCCTGCTAAGCGAGGCTACCATAGCCATTGAGTTATCGTCTGTCAATTTTCATAGACGGTGCAGACACAATTGATGCCATTTTCTAGTCCAAACTTTGAACAGTGACAATTCCGTTCAGAACAAAGTAATTTGACTGAAATTTTCAACAGTTTCTTTTTTTTTATCATCTTTTTTCGAATTATTGTAGTAAGAATGGCCAACTCTTTATAAAACCCTTAACTAATGTACCTTTAAAGATACATTATGTAAGATTTAGATAAAGAACTAGCCATTCTTGCTATAATAGTTCGAAAGTAGATGATGTAAAATGAATAATTTGAAAATTTCATTCAAATTACTCTATTGCAAGCGAAGATTAGCCTTTGAAGGTTTGACAGACGTGTGCAATAATTTCAACCACCGTACTGGTTGATCGAAGCTAACTCTCGGTCCTCCATATTTGATTAAATCAAAGTATCGCTGAACCATTCTAATCTATTTAATATCGGAGAAATCTGATGCCATCTAGAGTTGATTATGGTCTGGATAAGTTAATTAATGTCTAATTAATAATTTAGATAACATTTCAGGCCTAAAGAAAGACCTGCAATAGGCAGATTTAGCTCTTGCATAATGTATGTTTAAGGCGCTGGTTCACACACCAGGAGTTTCGGGGTTCCTTCCCAGTGCTGGATTCCCCTTGGCAGTGGGTATTGGTCGGAGGCATATATATTCTATTATCGAGTTACATCATACGTATTTGATATTTATCAATATTTATCACAATAACAAGAATGTTTAAGATATACTTATGAATCATTATTCATATTAATGTAAATCATGCTCAAGTGGATTGAAAGCGGATCTGTTTTTTTTTTATAAACAATATTTTTATTCAGGATGTCTGAATGGGATTGGGGAACAGGCTTAGCCTATGTAAAACCCCTCTCCCTAGATAATATACATACATAGTATTAAAACAAAGGAACAAAATGGGTGTATATACACAGTTAAAATGACAAACGCATACATACGGATGACATTTTGGATTTTATTGGATTTTATATATTTGGGTTAACTGTCTGCCTTGGTTTTTGAATTCTTTTTTTGAATTGTCAGATATCCTCTCATCGTCTCATATAACAACTTTTCATCTTCAACGGAATTATCAGTGAAATGAAATTCGATCGTTTGTCTCTTACCGCTCGTTACTTCCGTCAGTTATATACAAGGACAATTCATGTTTGTCATGTTTGACGTCACTTCCCGTTTCTTCACGTACTTGTTACACAACTCCCGTAGCAATGATCTCTGTGTTAAAATTATATTTGGGGTGTATTTAACGACCTCTATCACATATTTTATAACGACTGACACCAATATTGTCCTTTAATCTTGTTACAAACCAACCAAAGTCAACGCTTCATTTTGATTAAAATGTGGGGGGTTGGATGGCTGAATGGTTAGTGTGCGCGCGCTGTATCATAAAGTCTGCCATTGAGTCGACTGGCGTGGTTTCGAATCCCCGGTTGTACGTGACAAGGAGTAGGGTCGCCTGTCCAACCTCGTGGGTTTTCTCCAGGTCCTCCGGTTTCCCCCCACTGCTAAAGACCCCTATCTATTTTCTTCTTCATGGTTGAAAATTTGAGGTTGGGGTAAGTCATCTTTTTGCATCTTTTGTTTTAGAGTAAAGCTTTTAGGCTATATAGTAGTAGACGCAGTTCATATAATTATTTACAGGCTTACCTGGTCAGATATTTTGCAATCTTCAATAATTTGGTATACTATTGGGAAACAATAGAGCAAACAGTGAAGCGTGTGTAGAGAATAAGGCCGGATGTGTACAGGTGGCTGACAAGAAACAAACTGGAAGTGAGATCGGCTAACCTTTCCAGGTCATAAGCCTCCCATGTCCGCCATATTTATTTCACAAATTGGAAACAAGTATGGCGGCTTGGGGGCGTTAACATTTTTTTATTTAATTATTTCGGTATTTTTGTAACCGGAGTTCAGCTTTAAAATGAACAGAGAGTGCATTCAAGGTGTACTCTTAAACTGGGTCAATCATACGTGCCCAACCAAGTGGAAACAGGACCCTGCCTCAAATATAGCTGATTTCTAGGTAATGCTCAGTCATGCATGTCAGACAAAGCGATGTGACAATTCATTATTTCGCAAGCTGATCTCTGTTATCGCTACTAAAATAAACCGTGAATGCGTTTTTCTTCTATTTTAGCCCGTTAAACATACATTATGCAAGAGCTAAATCTACCTATTGCAGGTCTTTCTTTAGGCCTGAAATGTTTTCTACATTATTAATTAGACATTAATTAACTTATCCAGGTCATAATCAACCCTCGGTGGCATCGGAAAACAGTTCAGCCATATTTTGATTTAAGCTAAAAATGGAGGAGCGAGACTTAGCTTCGAATAACCAGTACCGTGCTTGAAATTATTGCACACGTCTTGTCAAACCTCCAAAGGCTAATATCTTCGCTCGCAATATCCTCTCACAGTCTCACACAACAACTTTTGGTCTTCGAAGGAATTATTAGTGAGCAGAAATTCGGCCGTGTATCTGTTATCACTCGTCACATCAGTCAGTTATATAGAGAAATGATGTGATAGAATACATAACTCTTATTTATTAAAAAGATATTTTAATACTGGACAACATATTTACAGGTACATAATAACATCATTTGGTTGGGTGAAGTTACGTCTAGCTATAGCTGCTTCCCCTCGGTCTCACAGGACCCCTCTGCCCGGTGTCAAGGGCAGACCCTCTCCCGAGGTCCGGGAGACCTCTCAGCCTCTACGGGCCTCTCTTGTCCCTCCTTTGTACCCTCCTTTTCTGCTTGTAAACTAGGCTTTTTATATCGGTTAAGGCACGCCATAGTTAATACCATTCGTAATCAGAACAATGAAAAGTAATTATTAAGATTCACACATCTTAGCTCAAGACAAAAGGTGTCAATACGTGTTAAGCCTGAATCTTATACCATATAGCCACTCCGGGTATACATGTTTGTACAATCCATTAAATCTTACATAATATTATTTCAACAACCTACACCTGATATAGATTAAATCTTACAATTAATCTGTCACTTAATATATGTCTAAAATTGAGTTACAAATAAAATATGAATTTAGAATACAATATTGAAATTTAGACTCGTGTTTTCCATTGGCGTTGATCGTCACTTCCGATTCAGGAAACCTGTATTACTCAGCTATCGTAGCAATGATCTCCGTGTTAAAATTATATTCGGAATGTGTTCAACCAGCTCTATCACATATGTGATAATGACTGGCACCAATATTGTCCTATAACATGAAATATATACACCATCCAAGTTATCTGCCATAACATGTTATATATAATAATGGGTCCTACTACACTGCAGCTTTTTTTTTAATTTTTTTTTTTTTTTTTTTTAATTTAATACAGTAGAATTATTTATTTATTTACAATTGTTATATACAAAGTCAATATGAGATGATATATACAAACGGTAATATAATACAGAATACAATTAAAGTTCCTATATTATAGCTACTTTCATATATACAGCTAAAAATATATTTGAAGTCTGTTGCGGAAAAGCGTCTGGTTGAAAAAGAGTGTGATGTTTCCCAGCACAAAAAGAAC